TCTAACAAATGTAAAGTGAGGTTACCAGACGAAGAGTAAAACTATAGTTGTGCACGAGAACCGAGAGATGCATTTTTCATGTTTCTGTCTAAGTTCTTGGCTTTGCAATATGCCTTTTTTCTTATTTTTCACAATTGACAATACATATGTATATACTTCTGAATGATTCACTAATTGTAATAATACTAGTTAGGATGCTTATGAACAAAGCTTATCCAGGAATATCTTTTCATTATTGGCAAACTCTCCATTTCGGAAATTGATTTGTCATGAAATTAATATATGTATCTATATTTACATTAAATTATATTAAATAAATTAATGGAAACAGAGATTTCAAAGAAACATTAAAACGAAGTACAGAATGTTCAGCTTCCAAATATGTAATTTATGGCACACCTGGGTCAAAACATTCAAAAATTTAAAAATGAAACAAGATATCTTACAATCAATACGTCTCAGCTGAGAACATTTATTAATATGAACATGAAGTGATTATTTAGACATTGGCAGAAAACACAACTCTCTTACTACTCTCATATCTAATTTACATTATACAATATACATCGTTTAGCACTAGTCCGCCGCCGGAACTTGAAATAAAATTACTTATGATTCTTTCTTTTTCTTTTTAATCACAAGAATTGTGGACCAATGGTGTTATTTCTTTTTTATCAATAATTGTTTAAAAAAATATTACATGGCCACCCAGAGGATGTCAATTCTCTGGCATACATTTTTCTGCACTGTGCATTAGTACACTTTCATGAGGCTCCCATAAAAGTTCTAATGCAGATCTCGAATTCATTAGCATTACTTTAACATGCCAATTTTTCTTTGATCTTTATTTACTAAGGATGTCAGCTTTCAAATCAGTACACAGTTTAGGCAAAATTAAGTAACTGTGAATTATAATTTTACACAGGAATGTCTGAGGAATATAAGAAGTATGGACCTCGGCTGCTCTTGTTTAAAAAATGAGCTTAAAAGACTCATCACTCAAGCTATTAAGATATTCTCCGACAATTATTTCCCTTACAGGAATACCATTTAATTCTCTCTTCAACACCTATGGCAGCAATATGCCGAGATGTACATCCTAAGACTGGAAAGTCTTCATTACATGATAAAATAATCATTTTCAGATATTTCAAGGCTAGTAAATGGGTTTTCTTCTTCATCATTTCCACAACTGCTAAATCTGTCTCCATAAAGTCATGTATTTCTACAGTACAAATATCTTGGATTCTACTTTTACAGAAACTGTGGCTGATTCTAAAGTTTTTGTTCTATTTCAATACCATTTGCCTTATAGCTAAATTGTATTGTCCACAGCCAATTGGCTGTAGTACCGCAAATCTAGCACTCTCCAAATAATCTGTTTGAAATTTGCTCGGAGGTAAAAAATATGTAAATTTAACAAACTAGATGTGGCGCAATATTATACAAATATACACTTATTCCTACTCTGTTGTAGATGTTATACGCATTCCATGGTTTCAGAAGTCCAGGAACCTGAAAGATGGCAATCTTTCCATCGATGTAACCATCTAAGAAATTTGGATAAATACTCGCAAACTTTTTGATTTTGAGAGACAATGGGTTCATAAAAGGTTATTAAGTCCTTCTACTTTCGCGGAGTCCTTGACATTTACAATCCACACACCACTCAAAATTATTTGTATGTAATTGGCACGTTTCAAGAAAATGTTGAAGTTATATTGTGACTTTGCACCATACTTTCCGAGCCTTAACGCAAACATTTTTCATTGAACACTTGAACGAGCTAAGGACACTATTTTGTCTCTCACAGTGAAGAGGATATAAAGCTTTTGAGTGTTAACCGCATACATGCTTGACGGCATCTTTCTTTCTCAATATCATGACAGCTTGCTCAAGAGCACCAATGAATGCTGTACCAAAATATCAATTAGCATCACGCATCTTCATTGGCAAAATCTGGCAAATACATAGCATGAATAACTCGTTTTTCCTGATTGATCCGTTATTCCTTAAGCACTTTAATATATGTTACAACTAATCAAATAAAAAAGAAATAGTGGTCTTACTTTTTTCCCACTGGATGAATTGGTACCATAATATTTAACGATTTCTTCTAGGCGGAAAAAAGCTGCATACACCTTCTTATTAATACTGTTGTTATCACTAATTTACACATAGTACATAAATCCTATCTGTTCAGTCCCAAAATAATTTTTTCAAAATACTTTGCAGGTCCTACCGCACACATTTTAATTTACAGGTTACCATGTGTAACTACCTCTTTGAGATCTGAAAGTAGGCTTGATATCATGGAATGTATGAGCACGTTGATGCAAAGTAATTGATTATTACATGGGCAGTAACCGCACGAAGTCCGCTGCTTTAAAATTCCATCAAAGACTATCACAATGGTATTTCATCCGTCATGAGAAGTCACTAATTTATCATTTTCAAGTTAACCCTTTACGCAATAGGTATTTGTTCTGTTCTCTTGTACTAT